TTCAGTAGTAGCTCCCTTCCCAGCAGCCCTGTCACCTGCTCTTTGGGTCCATCATGCCTAGGAATGGAGTTCTCCCCATACAGCGAGGAGGGCAGCTGACCCCCCTTCCCTCCCCGCCCCGCCATGTCCATCTGCTTGACTGTGCTAGGGCAGGGGGTACCCTGGTCACCCAGGATACCTCCAAGGCTCTCCTTCCTGGCCACCGTGCGTGTGGCTGTGTCTCTGTTCCCTGTCTGCTCAGCCCCAGGAATCCCACTGCAAAGCTTGAGTCCTCTTCCTCTGCCCCTGCTGGGCCCCTCCTGCCTCCGCTCTATAGATGCTGGCCCAACCTGTAGGCCTGTGTGGGGCAATGGGCCATGACCAGAAGGAGGAGGTGTGTATGTGACAGACATCGTGTGGTGCAGAGGGAATCTCAGACACGCGAGAGAGGTCTCACGCAGCTCTGCGGATCCAGTTCAGGCCAGCTGAGGAGTCCCCTGCATGGAAACTGCTTGTTTCCGTAGGACCTGTGTGATGGCCACACTGAGGTCCTGGGGCAGAACCATCAGCAGGCTGAGGTGGGCTGGGCCTCTGGCTCTGGGGACCCCGGGGGGAGCCCCTGGTCTCTGGGAGGGAGCGTGTTCCTTACTATTCTGAGCTCAGGCTGTCCCGGGAGCCCTGGCTGCCAGCTGGGCAGCAGCAGTTGGAGGCCACCCAGTCCCCTGGGCGAGCGGCAGGATCCCTTACACGCCGAGCCCCAAGACGGAGTTGGTGGCCGCAGACCGTGCGGCTGCCAGCCCCGGCCCCAGCCCGGCAGTCTCGTTGCCATGAGCTATGGCGGCAGGAATGTGACTGTGGGAAACCCAATGCCCTGGGCCTGGCCCTGGGGCGGAGGAGAGGGTGCGTGTGCCATGGGAGTGAAGGTCGCTGGGTGGAAAAGGAGCATCAGCCGCCCTTGCAGCCTGGCTCTGCCTGGGCTCCAAGAGAGAGCAGAGGCAGCCAGCCCTCCCTCTGCTGGCTGTGCCCCCCCTCCCTGCCCCAGCTCACCCCTCTAGCCAGCCTTCCCCTGAGCTCACGGGTGGCCTCCGGCACGCGGCTGCTCTCCCTGTCCCAGCACCCTTCTTCGTGCCCTTCCTCCAGGGAGACTTCCTGAATGGGACCTCCCAAGGGCCCACGTCGGTCTTTTCACCCCACAGATGGCCCACCTGGGGTGCAGTGATGCACATCACTTGTCCTTCCTGTATGGTGTCAGTCCCAGAGCCTCCCGAGGGTGGGAGGGGGCTGTCCAATGCATACTTTTCTATCCCTTCCCCTGGGACCGTAGGCCTGGGCACTCCTGGCTTAGGGTGAGGAATGCTGGGATCCACATGGTAAGTCTTCCGTGGACACACTTACCCAGTGCCAGACGCTGGGCTGGGTGCAGGGAGAGAGGAGTGTGCATGTCTGCATCTGCGCACGGAGGGATGGAGGCAGGAGAGAAGCTAGGAGAGGCTGGGCAGGGGACGCTGATGCAGGCAAGGCAGTTAAGGAGGTGCCTAGGCATGAGTGATGACTGAGCTCAAGTTAGCTCATCAGGGAGATCGTTCCAAGGTGAGAGACCAGCCTGTGCAAAGGTCCCTTGGGAGAGGGAAGGTGGTGGATTCCAAAATTACAGAAAGCTGAAGGGCAGACAGTAAGGAGGGGAGGGTATTATTTAACATGAGACTGGAGAGATGAAGAAGACTCCCTTAGCACCGTTTTCTGAGTGCCAGGTCCTTGCCAAGGGCAGTGGGTGCATCTATTTAATAGTCCCCAGTGGTTCTCAACTGGGGGACATGTCTATTCCCCACCCCATTCCCCCGGGGACATTAGACAATGTCTGGTGAGGGGTGGGGGATGCTACGGACATCTACTGGGTAGAGGCCCTGGGTTCTGCTAAACATTCAACAACTCATAGCACAGCCCCAACAAATAACGGCTTGGCCCTAAATACCCATAGTGCCACGGTTGGAGATTCCCGCATTTTTATAGTCCGCCCACTGGGGGTTGCCACAGTTGACACTTTACAATGAGGAACCTGAGTTTTAGGAACTGAGCTTCCCTGAGGCACGCCAGCTTCTCTTCCCTGACCCACACGGTGTGCTCCAGGCGAGTTCTCGACTCCCGGAGACTCAGTTTGAAGCCATGGCTGGGTTGGGAGGGCGAGCCGGCCTCCCCTGTGCTCCTGGGATCTGAGCGGATGCGTGGAGGGCTCAGGTCCCCCTGGGAGGTCAGAGCCTGAAAGACATTGGCCATCTCCGAGGGTGGAATTCTGCCCTGGGTGGGGACCAGGGCGGCTGCAGGGCCCTGGTTAGTGGGGGCCTTGCAGCTCACCTCCTGTTCTCCCTGCTTCCTCCCAGCACGCGCCCTCTGTCTCTGTGAGCTAGGGGGAGGACGAAGGAGGAGGCAGGGCCACACGTGGGTGGCAGATGGGGGCGGGGGGCGAGGTGGGGATGGAAGCGGGCCTGTGGAGAGGCAGGGCGGGGTGGTGGTCAGGGGCCTTGGCTGAGGGCCCCTCCTCTGGGGCCGGGACTGATGGAGGACCCCTAGCTGTGTGAGCTGCGTTCCTGGGGGAAGCACTGGCTGCTCCCTCTGAAGAATAGTCCTTCTCAGGGCCAGAGGTACCTGGCCTGGCCTGGCCTGGCCTTTGTGGAAATCCCAGGGAGGGGGCCACCCTTTTTGATCGCAGGCGGTGGCCCTGCCCTTGGACGGAGCCCCAGAAAGGGCTGCCAAAGCCCCAGACAGAAGCCTGGGTGGGAGCGGTGCTGATGGAGGCCGCTGGGGGAGGCCCTCTAGAGGAGGTGTGAGGTGAGTGGGGATGTGCACTGGCAGTGATCCGCGAGCAGGGAGGTCCCTGCAGGCACCTGGAGGGAGAGGGAATTCTGGGGCTGCGTACGGCAGAGCGGCTCGCTCCTTACGCCTGCCCCGGCTACCTACGTTTGGAGAGGAGGGGGCACATGTGTGGTGCCAGGCTAAGGCGAAGGGGCTATAGAGTCCTGGACCTTCAATCCCATCCCAAGCAGAACCTCTCCCCCACCTCCCTCCCCTAAAGTGCACTGAGCTGCGTGTGCTATGCGTTGTTGCACCCGGGGCTGGCCAAGCTGTTTCCAGCGTCCTGATCTGCTTTCCTTGGCGTGCCTGCACCTCACGCCTGGGGTGGCCTCTGGGGCCCCCCAGGTCCAGCCCTATGTGCAGCCTCACAGACCCCGAAACTGGGAATGGTGAGCTGTTGGCCTTGGTGCATGCTCTGGCAGGTTGCCAGCACACAGCCAGGCCAGACGTCTCGCCTCGTGGGAATGCAGGAGGCTTGGGGGCCACACCTGCCTGGGAGGGAGGATCCAGGCTTGCTGGCCTTTGGGTCTCTCTGTAGTAGCCTCCCCTGTCTGTAGTATGATACCTTCCCTCTTATCCTGCTCCCGTGTATGTGGTGTGTGCGTGTGTGTGTGTGTGTGTGTGTGTGTGTGTAGAGACTGAGGGCTGTTGCTCCTGACGTGTCCACTTTTCCAGCTCCCGGAATAATGTGGAACAACTATGGGATGCGTGAATACCACCCCTAAGCACAATTGCTAAGTCCATCGTTTATGACTTAATTCCCCCTGTCCTGACTGTACCCCATTTCTCTCATAACAGCAAACACTTATTGAGCATTTATTATGTGCCACGTGGTATGCTAAGAACATGTAATTTTTCTCCTTCATAGTCACAGCAGCCCTGAGACAGATACTGTGGGATTTTCCCGAATTTACAGAGACTGGTTCGGAGAGGTTAAGCAACCTGCCCGAAGTCACACAGCTAGCGACTGGCAGGGCCAGAATTGGAACCCAAGCAACCTGGCTCTGGAGCTTGTGTTAAAGTTGTGGCCAAAAGGAAGGGGGTCACTTCCTCCCGCTGTCAGAGAGGGGGTGTCCTGTGGTGGGCGCGAGAGCCTGCCCAGGTACAGCAGGACCTCGGTGTGCCCGGGGAGAGCCGATGAACGCGTTTTCCCAGTGTGAGTGTTTTATGGGCCCTTTCAGGATGGAGCAGAGGAAGACGGACCTACCTTTCGGGTGCATTTCTTTGTTGACCCCGAGTGACCAGGACAGGACTGGGAGGATCAATGGCTCTCCTGGCTAGGGAACAGCATGAGCTTGGGATGGGAGCAGACAGGAGCCTGGACCATCTTTGAGGAGCGTGGCGGGCCTGAAGCTGAGGTCTGGGATTGAGGGAAATAAGCCCTGGTGTTAGAGGGAAAGAGGGGCCGGGTCATCGGGTCTGACCAGGACCATTCGGTAGTGAGAGCCACTGAAAGATTGGGGCTGCGGGTGATGACGCTGTGCTGGCTCTGCGTGTGGGCAGATGGGAAGTGGGAGGGCCAGCGTCCAGAGAGGCTTCTTGGGCAGGGGTCTGGGCTGGGGCTGAGGGGAGGCACAGAAGTGGCCCTGTGCTTTGTATCTGGAGGCACTGGGGATGGGTAGCTCCAGGGCCCCCTGGGGGGGAAGGAGAATGACCATATAGCTTTAAGCACGGACTGGTTTCTGAGCCTCAGTGTAGACCTGCACTGCCTCCTGTTCTTGTCTCTGCCTCTGGCCTCAGCCTGAGCCCAGGAACCCAGGCTCAGGGGTGGAGAGATGCTAGACAGGGCCTCCAGATTTTGCCTCTTCTTGCCTCATTCCAGTGGGCAGATCACCACTGGCTTTCTCCTCCCCCCCCTTCCCGCCCCCCATACTAGTCAAGTCCCACCTTTTATCACACTCTAACCCCGTAGACTCAAACTTCCATTCTGACTTGTCTGGTCTCCATGAGCGAGGGAGAAACATTTCCCCGTGGACTTGACATTGGAGTCTGTGGGCTGAAGGAGAGGATGAGCTACCCTAGGTGAAGTTAGAGGCTGGTGGGCCAGCTCTCAGCGGCCAAGGAGCATTGTCCAGAGGTCTCCTGACCCGGGACCGGGCTCTCTGGGTCAGCCTCCCTGCCACCCTCCAGCTTGGGGTCAGAATCTGTCCTGACCGGCTCTGTGTCTCCAGGGCGGTGTGGTGGATGACAGGAGTGAGGATTCCACGTCCATCTCCACCTTGAGCTTTGGAGTGAACAGACCCACGATTTCCTGCATCTTCGACTGTAAGTGATGCTTTGAGGTGTCTATGGGATGATATGGTTGGGTGTGTGAACTTTTGTTTCTGTTTGAATTGGGCTATGTGTTCAGGTGTGTATGTGGGGCTGTGGAGAATGGAGTCTGTTCTTTTGGTGAGTCAGTGTCTTCTGGTGTGTGTGTGTGTGTGTGTGTGTGTGTGTGTGTGTGTGTGTGTGTGTATGTGTGCGTCTGCACAGGCACCTGCCCGTCTATGGTATGTCATCTCTAAGCTTAAAATCGGGCATTCAAGATCTGGTGCATTCTGGCCTCTCCTGTCATCCATTTAGCCTCCCTCCCTTCTCTTCCTCCTCTGTCTCCTCTCTCCAACTCTCACCAGGCCAAAGGATACAGCACTCAGGTGTCTACTTCTGAGCTGTGGTCTGTTCTGACTGTGAGTGGCTCAGTGCTGCAGAGTGTGACATGGGCCATTTTTATCGTTCAGCCCCTGTGCCTGCCCTTCCCAGGGACAGATGCCATCTTTTCCTCTAGCTCCGGCTCTCAGCCACCTCCAGCCCCTCACATGGCATCTCTGTTTCTTCCCTGGTGCAGATGGGAACCGCTACCATCTGCGCTGCTACATGTATCAGGCCCGGGACCTGCCTGCGATGGACAAAGACTCTTTCTCTGGTAGGTGGGGGGAGGGAGGAGAGCCAGGGACCAGAGCTGAGAGCTGGGAACCCAGCCACGGGGCCTTTGGACCACGGGGCCCAGGCCCAGGGCTTCCCCTGGAGGTGGGAGTGGTGCTTGTGGGTTTGTGAGGTGGCTGTTGTTGCCAGGTCACTGTGGCGTCCTAGTTGTCAGGTGGCTGGCTTGACCCCTCTGAAGGGTTTGGCTTTACTGACCATCCCCTCCTAAAAGCTCCTCTGGCCCGGACCCCCAGGGTGCCCTCTCTCTGGGTCCCCTGTAGCCGCCTCCTGCTCTACCCCAGTGCTTCTCTGCCTTCTGAGCCTGGCGTTCCCAAGAGCGTATCTGTGTCCTCTTCTCTGGGCACTGGGCCTTCCTCCCAGCTTCAGTGACCCTTCATGTCAGGGAAGCTTCTAGGTCTTCCGTTCCCAGAAGCCCCTCATGTCCGGCCACATCCTGGTCTCTCCCCCCGGATGCCTCAGAGGCACCTCAGTTCATCCTGTCCAAATTGAACTTCCTGTGACATTCCAGCCCCGCCCCCCACCCCAGGCTTCCTGTGCATTTACCGCCTGGGTCCTGGTGTCCCCTCAGCATGGACACAGTCTGTCACCCCGTCCTGTTGATTCTGGCTCCTGAAACGTCCTCGAAGATGTCCCTGGAAACTGGCCTTGCCCCTTCGTATCTGGACACGTTGGTCATCTCCTGACCTCCCTGCTTCCTTCTGCACTGCCCCAGGCGGCGATCTGGTCATGTCACTCCCCCGATTTCAAATGCAGACACTGACATATACATCCTCTGCTCGACAGCCTGGCAGACAACTCTTTTGTGATCTGACCGCATGGACCTTGCCAGTTTCAGTTTTCCCGGACTGCCCTCTATCCACTAGCTCGCGCCCCACCGACTTTGGCCATCTTTCTAACCTTTGTACTCAGTGTTCTCTCTCTCTAGAATGCATTCCCTCCCTCTTGTTAACCCAGCGAACTCCTACTCATCCTTCACGACCCAGCCCAGATGCCCTCTGACTCTTTCCGAAGCTGAAATGGCTGTTCCTTTCTGACCATCCAGCACCGCTCTCAGAGCCCTGGCCCACTGCATAGGCGAATTGCTGTCTATCTATCTGGGTCACATGCTTCCCAGGATGGCTGTGAGCTCCCCCAGGGAGAGGCCTTGAGCTTGCAGCACTTCTTGTCCGAAGAACGAACACTGAATGATGTGCTCACTATGAGCCCAGGTGCTTCACCGACATGATGTCACGTCACCCTTAGAACTCCGTGTGAAGTAGATGTTTAACACTCTGTTTTATAGATGAAGAAACAGAGACTCAGGTGGCTTATGTAATTGCTTGTTACCTATCTATCACTCTCCAAATGCTGGAGTAGCACCGAGCTCTGCTTTGAGAATGATTTGTTCACAGAAGGGCCCTGCAACTTAGAGCCATGTGCCAGTCCTCCTTCCCAGCCCCACCCCCGCCCCCGCCCCTGCCCCTGCCCCACGTGGGACCTCTCAGGTTCCTCCTTCCAGCAGCTGGGCCCCTGCATCCCTTCCTCTCAGGGACTTGTTCTCCAGCCCCTGGCAGCCAGGCTCAGGGTAGATAGAGCAATTTCTCCCCTGTGGTTTGGGTCCTGGGCCCTGGGTCCTGAGACTGCCCTCTGCAAAGCATAGGCGAAGCCAGCGGGCAGGGAGAGCAGGCCAAGGGCGGGCAGCTGCAGCTCCGGGGAACCTGTGCCAGGAGGCTTTCTGACACCTAGGACGTGCCCTGGGGTAAAAAGAAGTGGACTAGCTCACAACCTCGTTTCCTCTTCATTTGGAGAGGAGAGGGGAGGTGGGGGTGCAGGTGGCAGGGTTGTGTGAGGCGGGCGGTGGGATGGGGCCCAGTGGGGAGGCCCTGGTCCTTTGTGGGCTGAGCCGGTGGGGACCCTGCAGGGAGGGCACTCCTCCATGGAGCCTGCGCTAGGAGTCAGTGTGCCCCTCTGGATGGCAGGCAGGCGGGCAGGCGGGCAGGCGGGCAGGCGGGCAGGCGGGCCACGTCAGCCTGGGACCTGCCTGTGGAGACGTCACACTTTCCACCCTGGCCCCACCCCCTCCCCCAAGTAAACATCCCTTGAGCGTTGAGGGCACTGCCCAGGGCTTCCTCAGAGGCCACTGGCTTCTGAATGAAAGGCCTGATTGAGCAGCTGCTGGAAAGGAAAACAGCAGCCAACACGGGTGAACCTATAAAACCCAGAGTGTTTATTTTCACTCCCAAGCCCTAAACCAAAGCAATTTCTCCCCTGGAACTGACCCTGGGGTGGCTGGCGGCCGGAGGCTGTGCATGGCCACCGGCTGGCATTTCTCAGAGGGAACTCCTGTGTGAATCCAGAGTGTCTGGGTCCAGGGAGGGTTCAGGGCAGAGCCTGTCTCTCCAGTCTGACGGTCTGGCCTGGCTGCTGGGGGTCTGAAACCGGCCGGGGTGGGCTCCCGTGGCCCCGAGCTGTGCTCCCTGCCTGTCCCTGGTCTGTGGGGCCTGGAACTGCCCGGAGGCCCCGCTGTGCCTGCTGCCTTCTCCCCTTGGCTGAGGGTTTGGGGGAACACACAGGAATTTCCCAGAAAACATTTGTCGAAAATAGTAAACTCAGTCAGGAAAGGAGGCTCGTGGAAATGCTGCTGCCCAGGCTGCCCGAGGGCTTTGCTGTGGGCGGGGCGGAGTGGACGTCCAGCACAATTGTACGGACCACGGGAGGGGCGCGTGTGGCATGTGGTTCTGGGCGTGTGGCCCGTGTGGTGATTGGGCATAAGAAATGTAAAGTGCTGTCTAATTCCGATGACCCCTTGGATATGGGGCTGCGGCTGCCACTCCTGGTGACCATCTGGAGGAGGCACTGGGTTTACCTTGAATGGAGAAGACGGAGCGGACTTAGGGCTCACGTGTCCTCAACACCAGACCTACTGGGCAGCACCCCTTCCCGGGGGGCGAAGGACGGGGGGAGGGCGCGCAGCTTTCTGCTTTTCCCAATTACTCCCTCAGGGAATTCTGCTTTGCTCTCCCCCTGTTGAGTACCAACATTGCGGTGGTTTGAGGGAACCATAAGCTCTGTTTAACAGAACTGCCACCAAGATAGACTCTGCTTTGAGGTCACCGCAGTCCAGAGAAGGGCCCTTAGCATGAGGGACCCAGAGACCGCTTTTGAGAGCCCTGCAGGTAAGGGGGCTCAGGGGGCCTGACCGGGCGGTGGGGTGGGGCTCAGCGGGGGGCGGAGGGGGCACTAATCATGAGAGTGAGTGGTCGTATAGCTGTCATGGTAGAAAGCTCCTGTGTCCTCTTTGTTGCCCTCGTGGTTCTGGGGGGTCAGAGCTGTATAGATGGGGTGGCCTGAGAAGGCAGCCCCTTCTGTGGGGACCAGAGCTTTCATCCCCCCAGATCCAGACTCCGTCCTGGGTGGGGCTGGGACATTCTTTTTAAAAAATATATTTTATTGATTTTTTTTTTTTTTTTTTTTTTTTTACAAAGAGGAAGGGAGAGGGATAGAGAGTTAGAAACATCGATGAGAGAGAAACAACCAGCTGCCTCCTGCACACCCCCTACTGGGGATGTGCCCGCAACCAAGGTACATGCCCTTGACTGGAATCGAACCTGGGACCCTTCATCTGCAGACCGACACTCTATCCACTGAGCCAAACCGGTTAGGGCAAGGCTGGGACATTCTTAGGCTTGGGCTCCCCAGGTCTGGGCTCCAGTCAGGGCCCACCCCCTCTTTTGCAGCACAGCTTTCAGAGAAGGCCGGCTCTGCTCGGGGGAATGTTCTAGTTGAGCTCAAGGAGCTGCTTTCCGAAGTGCATCGGAGGCTTATGAAACGGTCCACTTACAAAGGGTTCCTGAGCGGGAGAGGCGGGAACCGCTGCGCGCGGAGATTTACAGCACGCCGTGTCCTTGAGGGGCTCCGAGGCGGCGGCCGCGGAAGGGGCCTGTGTGATTGCTTCGGCGCTCATTAGCTCCCCGGAGAACTCGCATTTCGAAGAACACATTTTGGGAAACGCTGGTCTATCTACATAGGATTTGGTCCAAGCTGCTCAGCGTGACCCTCCTCCTTCTCCTTCTCCTCCTCCTCCTCCCTCCTCTGTCCCCCTGCCCTGTGCCTGCTCTTCCTCCCCTGAACCAGATCAACTCCTTGCTATGTCCCAGCGCCTGTGCTCTTTGGAGCCTTTGGTCACCGGTGCTGGGGGCCTCCACACCCTCTTTTCCTTGGTCTGCCTTGGGAACGTCCACATTTAAAAAAATATATATTTTATTGATTTTTCACAGAGAGAAAGGGAGAGGGATAGAGAGCTAGAAACGTTGATGAGAGAGAATCATCGACCACCTGCCTCCTGCACACCCCCTACCGGGGATGTGCCCGCAACATTTGTACATGCCCTCGACCGGAATCAAACCTGGGACCCCTCAGTCTGTAGACTAACGCTCTATCCACTGAGCCAAACCGGTTTTGGCTGAACTTCCACATTTTTGAGATGCAGGGTAGGGGACCATCTTTGGGAAGACAGACTTAGTGTCACCAGGCCACAATGAGTACCCCCCACCCTTAGCACCTTTTACACCCCACGATTAAGCTGCCCATCTCCTTGTATTGCAGCTGTTGTTTAGTTACCACTTCTAACCGGTAGTCATGCTCTTAAGAGCCTGGGCCGTGTCTCATTCATCTTCATATCCCTTGCACGGGGCTTACCTCCCACATGTGGTTAGTCAATCATTGTACCCGGAGTGAATGATGGATGACAAATAGCGCTCGAGTGAACATCTTTGTACATATAGGTTTTTGGTTAATTTGGATGATGCCCAGGAATATGGGAAGCGGGGTATAAACAGTGCGATGTTTTCCTGGGCATGCTGCCCAATTGCTTTCCTGAAGAGTTGCTGAATTGCATCCAGCAACGAAGGAGAGTACACCTAGTCCGTCAAACGTGTGCCAACACTGGGCTTTATCCATCTACACAATTTTTCTTAATTTTACAGCGAAACTATCGCTGTCTTACAGTTTTCAGTTGCGGCGCCTTCCTATGACGAAGCCTGCTCTCTGAAGGACCCTTACCCTGTACACATGGCAGCCGGAGCACTGGGCTAAGAGTCATGGTGTGTCCGGTCGGGGCCGTGTGTCAGCACCGACTAGTGACTCTATCTTCCGGGGTCAAAGCTCCCTCTCGGGCAAGTGGGGTGATGCTACATGCCCTGGCCCCTATTCGGGTGTTCTGAGCTGGTTGGTGGAGGGCCCATGAGGAAAGCTTAGTGTTTGGGGAACGCAGAAGTGTCTGCCCCGGAGCTCCAGGAGGGGCTGAGTGCCAGAGCTGGGGCGTGGAACTCCAGCTCCAGAGAAGCATTACCTGCCTGGGCCTCTCCTGGGGATGGAGTCCGGCAGGACCTTCCTCTGTGATCATGGCCAGAGCATTCCAGGGCAGCTGTGGTCTTCAGGGAGCTCCAGTCCAGCTGCATTTCACCTCAGCTCTGGGGGCATCTGCCCGGCCTGGCCCGTGAGGCCCGAGACTGGGAGGACCAGGAAGAGAGGGTCCTCACCCTTCCTTCGCCTCTCCCTGGGATCTGCTCCTCCTCGCTCTTGGCTTTCCTGGAAGAGGGATGTGTCTGTGCATCTGTCTGGCTTGCCTTCCTCTGACCACCTTGCTTCAGCAACAGCCACCCCCACTTGCTTCTCTTTTATTTATTTATTTTTTTTTTTGAGGGGCTGGCCCCTGTGGGGGGGAGAGGCCAGGCCCCGGCACACAGTAGCCCAGTGTCTGAGGCCCCAGGCCTCCGGGCCTGCTCTTTACAATGCCTTTGTTGTGTGTGTTTTCCTCCCCTGGGCGGGCGGGGCGCGCGTGTGGGTCTGGGTGATTTTTGTTTGAAAGCCGCCCCCGCCTGTCCCCCGCGCTGAGCTCATGGCTGTGCTGATGGGGCTGCTGGAAGGAGCCGGCCGGCTCGGGGGCCAGCGTGGGGGGTGCTGCCAACACCAATACAGCGTGCGCGGCCGCTACAATGTGCAATTGTGATCTTTGTGTAAACGCGGTCGGTCTGGGGCGCGCGCGCTTATAAAAATAAAGCGTTGGGAAGCACAGGGGGTGGGAACAAAAGGGGCTTTTTCGCCGGCTCTCTAATATGGTTTTATTTATCGGAACGCTCCCTCTTTCCCTTACTGGAACCGGGGAGAGGTTCTCTGCCGAGCTTGGAGCTGATGGTATCACAGCCAGACGGTTTCATTAAATGCACAGACGCCGCTGGGCCCTGCCAGGGGCAGGAAGGGAAGGGCCCGGGCCAGCCCTGCCAGGCGGGTGCGTGGAAGGGGGAGCCCCGTGCCAGGGAGGCTCCCACCACGCAGAGGCGGTGAGAGGCGGTAGCCTTTCTCCCCTGCCAAGAGCCTCCTGCTGCCCTCTTCTACCCCCAGAATCAGGTTCCAAACCCGTTTCCTGCAGGAAGTCCTCCAAGATTCACCCCGTCGTGCGTTTGTGCCTGAGGCTGAGGAGCTCATCCAGGCCGGCGGCTGCCTCCTGTTAGCCGAGCCTGTCCTTGTTCACCCCACAGCTTCTGCCTCCGAACGGGCCCCCTGGGGTGACAGCGAGAAACTTAGACCCTGTTCCCTCCATCCCATAACGGGAGCCCCCCCATTGCCCACCTCAGCCTCCCCACCTCTTCTGTCGTTCCTCTCTGCCACCTCCTGTGCAGTGGCCATGGTGTGCCATTTGGTCTCTTTAAGGCCAGGGAGCTTGTCCTGCTCAGCTCCCGTTTGGGGGGAAATCCTGTCTCTCCATCCCAGCCCCAGGATCGCAGTTGGACATCCCAGCACCCTTCCGAGGGCAGGGCAGACAGAGCCCATTACCTCTGACGCCCCTTTGAGGCCACATGTGGGGTTAGGGGTGGCATTGGGTTGGACTGCGAGGCTCAGAGGATGCCAGGTATTGCAGGATGGGGCAGGTGCGAGGGGGAGAGGGCATATGTTAGAACATTTAGGCTCCACCTTCTCAATACATCTAGCACCCAGCCGCCAGCCTCCTGCAACTCCAGACTTTCCTGGCAAGTGCCCTCAGCATTTGGCGTGTTGGGTCTTATGAAATGGCAGCAAACTGGACCCCTCCCCCAGGCTGATGAAATTGGGGAGCCCCTTCTCCAGGCCCTCTGCTCCTCTCGTAAATGACACGCGCTCAGTCTCACAGGTCCTTCTCTTGCATTGGTTTCCAAAGTGTGGCCCTGGAGAGCAGATCAGTTCCACCTGGGAACGTGTTAGAAATAGATTCTCAGCCACCAGCCCAGACCTAAAGCATGAGGCCCTGGGCTGGGACCCAGTGGCCTGGGTCAATCTTCCAGGCGGTTCCGCTATAAGCTCACATTTGGAACTACTATGCTAGAATCTTTTCTAGTGACTAGTGGCTGGGTCCCAAGCCAGCAAGGCTGGGACTGACATGCTGGAGAGGAGTTTGGGGACAGCAGGAAGCTTCAGGGGCCTTAGAGTTCCCCTCATACCATCCATAGCTCTTGAGTCTATGTGCTTCTCTCTCGTGCCTTCCTGCCCATCTAAGCCACCACTGCCTCTGCCTGGTCTTTTCCAGGAGCCTCATACCTGGTTCCCCTCACTCACTTCTCCCCCCTCCATGTGGCAGCCAGAGTGAGCTTGCTGAAATGCAGCCCTAGGCACGCCATGTTGATGGCACCGACATCTCTGTTCTACTCTCCCTTCCTCAAAGAAGCCAGGTCTCTTCCTCACGCATGCTACTACATCTTATCTCTCTAGTCTTCAAAGCACTGATCAAAATGGAAATTTTATGTTTGTGTGAATTATGGTTTTGATTCAATTGCATTTCCAGCCCCTAGCCTCTAGCCTGGCATACAGAAAGCACTCAATAAATGCTTGTTGGATGACTGAATGAGCAAATGAATGAGCCATTCAGGGACTCACTTCTTCTAACTGGACCTTGCCCCCTGGGGACAAACCCAAGAAGGAGCCCAGAAGGGGGAGGTCTCTGGGTTTCTGTGCCCACTGGCCTGGATCCAGGCTCCATTTCCCTGTGGTAGCCTGCCCGTCCGCTCCTGGAGGTCAGGAAGAACCCAGGAAATGGGCGCCCACCTGACACTGGAGCACCAGAGGGCCAGGCACAGCTCTGCTCCAGCTTTGTGGCCCGAGTGGCTCCTGAGCAGCCAGTTCTCACGGTCTCTGCCGTGTCCTGTCTCCCGTCCCTTCTCCCGCCCACAGATCCCTACGCAATCGTCTCCTTCCTGCACCAGAGCCAGAAGACGGTGGTGGCCAAGAACACGCTGAACCCCACCTGGGACCAGACGCTCATCTTCTACGAGATTGAGATCTTCGGCGAGCCGGCCACCATCGCCGAGCAGCCGCCCAGCATTGTGGTGGAGCTGTACGACCACGACACCTATGTGAGCCTCCTGCCTCCCTCTGCATCCCCTCCCTGCCCACTTCCTCAGGGCCCAGGGAGGAATGGGTGCACCCAAGGCTGGGACTGATGGCTTCTCCCCGGGCCCCACAGACTGCAGAATGGTCAGAACCATTGTAGAGGAAGGAGAACTGGATTGCTAGCGCCTGTGCTCTGCCCACGCAGCGAGAGGGGACAGGTCTGGAAGGGAAGGTGCTGGCTGTGGCTCACAAGCCGGGGTTTCCTCCGCCTCTAACTTGCTTACATGGTCCCAGGCCAGTCCCTTCTCCTCAGAGTGCTGTGTTGACTCCATACGTTGATTAAGCACTTGTGTGCTGGGCTGGGTAGCCCTTCACTTCGGTTCCCAGTCTAGGTGGGAGCCGAGACGCACCCACAGACAGAGAATCCTCCAGGGCAGTAGTTGGCAAACCACAGCTCATGAGCCACATGCGGCTCTTTGGCCCCTTGAGTGTGGCTCGGCGTTAGAACCACTTCTGCAAAATAGACTCGCCCAGGCCGAAAACCGACTTCTGCACACGGGCCATGAAGTTTCAATCAACTGTATGTGCGTACCCACATGTAGCATTTTGTGGAAGAGCCACACTCAAGGGGCCAAAGAGCCATATGTGGCTCATGAGTCACGGTTTGCCGACCACTGCTCCAGGGAGACAGTGGGTCCCTGAGTGCCATGTGGCTCTGAGGCATAGCCAGGCCCTCTGACAGAGCTGTCCATAGAGTGTCCTTTGCTGATGGATACGCTCTGGGAGCCACTAGCTACATGTGGCTGTTGAGCAGTTGAAATGTGGCTAATGCAACTGAGAATCTGACTTCTGAATTTCTTCTAGTTGGAATTAATTAAGCTTTGAATGTAAATAGCCGCTGGTGGCTGGCGGCTCTAGCTTGGACAGCATGGCGGTAGAAGGTTCCCAGGAGGGAGAGTGCGCTGTGGGCTGGATGTGCAGAAGCCTGTGGGGAAGATGCAGCCCTGGAGGAAATGTGGGGTCTGGTGTGGGTGTTGGCAGGAGGCAACCTTGGGGCAAGGGGGAGACCCAGGAGAGAGGAGGGCAGGCGGGGAAGGAGGAGAGCAGAGAATGAGGCCAGGGGAGCAGAGCACTGACAGGTCAAAGTGACATTTTAAAAAGAGCAGAGCAGAGACTATGTCAGCGGATGGGGCATGTGGCAGAGAGGTCCCTTCCTAGGTTGGGGAAGCGGTGCGATGAAAAGGAAGAGGCAGGGTTTTGAAAATGTTTCCAGAAAGAGTTGCCATGACCAGATGTCAGGTGCCCTGGGAGGGTGTGGAGATGGGGGTGCCTCCAGGTGATGGGGGCCAGCTGGCAGTGGGCAGTGCAGACCTGGGCTGGGGTGTCAGCCTTCGAGCTCTTCCTTTGGAAGGAAAAGCTGGCCCGTTGGGAGTGGGGTGGGGGTGGGGGGATGAACAACTGGAGTCTATTTGGGATTGTTTGGAGAAGAGCACAGGGCCTGGGCCTTGGCGGCAGGAGGGGGAGGTAGGAGGACCAGGAAGGTCCTGGGCTGAAGGAGCAGGTGCAGCCATGACCTCTTCTGAGTGGGTGGGCTCCAGGGACCTGGGGGAGAGCAGAGGCTGTGCTCATTGTTAATGTAGTCAAGCAAGTCCGAACTGTGGCAGATACCCCGAGCTCCTGCTGTCCTGGCTGCCGAGCTCTGCTCAGACCCCCCTACCCCAGCCTCTCCGTGACCCATTGTAAGACTGTACCTGCCCAGAGCAGCCTTCAGGAGCCCTCTCGGGACAGGGGCTGGCGCCCGTCTACTCTGAGTGGTTGCTGTCAGTTGACGACTGGGCATTTATGCAGCAGCTGGTGGCTACCCCAGAATGGCTCTCTGGGATGTCCCCAGCAGGGAGGTGACTGCAGGTAGGGAGACCTCCCAGTCCTGTTCTGGGTTTCCCCAGAGGAAGGCCTTGAGCAAATCACCAGGGCTTTTGAAGGCTGCAGCACCAGCTGTTCTGTGCCCTGCCCCTGCCCTTGGGAAAGCTGACCACAGGCCAGCGGGGTCACAGAGGGCCATGTCGGAGGCTGAGTGTGGGCAGGGCTGTGGGCCATGGCTAGTAAGGGTAGAGGGCAGTATGGCTGGAACTGGCCCATGCAAAGGCCAGTGGTGAGAGAGCAGCCAGGGCCAGCAGGCTGGTGTAGAGGGTGCGCCAGGAGGGAGGAGAGGGGAGCAGGCTCCAGTAGGGGGCCTTCCATCCCAGGGGGAAAGTTTGGACTCTCTCCTCTAGGCAGTGGGGAGCCAGGGAAAGTGCCCGAGCAAAGGTCAATACATAATTTCAGCAAGACTCATAGAATTCGATGAGCGGTCAGTTTCTCTCTCTGGAAGATGGTAGAATTTAAAGGTGCAATGAACAGGAGAAACAAAAGGCCTTGGAACTATCAAATGCCTAGTCTGTGAGGGCGCCAGAGAAATGCTAGGATCCTGCCACTTTGGTCTCTAATTGGCTCAGAGCTTGATTAAGTTAAAACACGGCTCTGCTAGTTGGATATGCAGAGGCTCTTCCCCACCATGACGGGAATTCACATCTAGCAGCAGTGACCGGGGCCACTGCACGTTGTTCTCAAATCCTTTTAGGGGGGCAGAGCTTGCTGTTCAGCACCAGGGGCTGCCCTTTAGGGTTCAGGAGGCCCGATGTGGGTCTGACGATCCCGCGGAGGCCACCAGAGTGCTGGGCTGAGGATGCTGACTCCTCTTTCTCTACTCCCTGTCCAGGGTGCAGACGAGTTTATGGGACGCTGCATCTGTCAGCCGAGTCTGGACCGGATGCCCCGGCTGGCCTGGTTCCCCCTGACTCGGGGGAGCCAGCCAGCAGGTGAGCTGCTGGCCTCTTTTGAGCTCATCCAGAGAGAGAAGGTGAGGCTGGGCCATGTGCAGATCCAGAAGGCGGGGAGTACCGGGTGGGGGAGTGTGGGGGACACAGGCAGAGTCAGCCTGTGGAAGGCAGGGGGCTGCTGAGCCATCCTCTCCCTCCACTGGGGGCCTGACAGTGGGGAGCACTTCAGGGAAGCCAGGCCTCCTGATGAGGCTGGTCTCAGCCATCTTTTCTGAACCCCAAATCAGGACATGCTCTAACTTCGGGGTCCAATGCTGGAATCTCTGAGTCCTATGGCCATTGGATGTATATCCTGAGATTGTTTCTGGTTTTGGCGCAGGGGCTTAATTGTTGTGGTGGTGGTGGGGGGGGGGTGGGGTAGGCAGGGGAACTCCAAGGACAGGGAAAGGCATAACCCCTGTTCCACACTGCTGTGCCACAGCCCAGCTGTGATCCTGGGCCAGCCCCTTCCCTGCTGTAGATTTGGGGGTTTGCATTAGAACTAAATCATTAAACCTGCTCTTGGTGTGATGTGAACCCCAATGTATTAGCCAGAGAGAAGTGGGGCGGCTTCAGGTGAAGTGTTGGGAGAGGGACACAACCTAGGCCAGCCTGGTTCCCGGGCACGCTGCCTCCAACTCCCAGGCAGCTCTGAGGGGCCCCTGGACTGTCTGATCACTGGCATATGCCACGAGGGTTGTTTTGTGGTTGGCGATGGCTTTGCCTGGCCAGGGCAGAAGGGAAGGTGAGGGGGCCCTGAGTGACAAGCCCCTGAGCGAGTTCTTTTCTTCCTCTAGCCGGCCATCCACCACATTCCCGGCTTTGAGGTAAGTCTTGTTCTCAACGTTTCTTTCTTCAAACTCCCTGCTGGCCTCCCTGTGTCTGTAGCTCTGATCTTTGCTAGCAAGGGCAGCAGGCAGAGGAGGGCCCAGTGGGGCCCCAGGGGTGGGGTGGACAGGGACCGGGTCCTCGCCCAGCTCAGGCCTTTCCTGCCCATCTTCTCTGAGAAGATCACACTCTCTGACTGAAGGGACCTCACGATCATCCAGCTCAGTGCCTCTTAGCCTGCCTGCAGGTTTGAATCCTTGCAAAGCCTTATCCATCCCAGGTGCTCAGGCCCCACCTCAGACCAAAGGGAGCAGGATCTTCCTGGCATGGCCCAGGCATTGGTGGTTTTCAAAGCCACTCGGGAGATTTTAATGTGCAGCCAGCTGAGAGCCATCAACTAGCCCAGTGGTCGGCAAACTTCAGCTCAAGAGCCACATGCGGCTCTTTGGCACCTTGAGTGTGGCTCTTCCACAAAATACCACGGCCTGGGTGAGTCTACTTTGAAGAAGTGACATTAGAAGAAGTTTACGTTTAAAAAATTTGGTTCTCAAAAGAAATTTCAATCATTGTACTGTTGATATTTGCTCTGTTGACTAATGAGTTTGCCGACCACTGGATTGGCCCAGCGTGGCATCACGAGGATGCTGTGGGAAATACGTCTTGGGACCCACTGCAAACCGACGGAAGCTCAGCCCGTTCACAAGCCCGCGGAGGGTTCTGGCACATACCCCTTTTCAGAAGCTCTGGTTTAGACCGTGGTTCCCAGCTCACTGTGCCCACCATGACTGGTTTATTTCCTCCACTAGGCTCCCTTGTCCCTGCTCTCCTCCTTTCTGGGTGTCACAGTTGAAAATGCAGACCTTTCGCTATGGTGCCCAGGCTCATTGGCTTCTCAAAATACGACTCTCGCCGGGCTCAGCTGCAGCTTTGGGAAGTGGTCAGCGGGGCTCTGTCTGGATGCCTCCTCCTTAGGGGCTGCCCACCAATTTGTGGACAGCTCTTACCATGCAGGCCCTCCTGCCCCCTGCCCGGCTCCACTCTTTGCTTCTCCTCCTTCCCTCCTTCTCTCGCTCCCCATCCCTCTCCTGTCAAGTCCAAGCTCCTGATCTTAGTTTGCCAGACCCTGGGGGACCCATTGTTTCTTCTTGGCTCCCCAAATTCACATGCTCGGAGAGGAGAGGAGCGGCAGCTCCAGGACCTGAGGCCTGTCTGCTTCCTGGGCTGCCCCACAGGCCCGGCCCTTCTCACCACCTGTTTGCCATTTTCCTCTCTCCTGTCTGTCACTTCCGAACATGCCTGGGCTCTAGGCGTATGTGTTGGCCTCCTCTCCTACCAATTCCTTGACATCAACGTCCATCACACCTTCTTTCTCAGGGACCACATGGGGGCGTGGCTAGAAGCACAAGGCACTTGCTGAGGATGGGAGGTGGTCTCCGTTGGTTCCTCATACGCGATGTCTGGTGTGCATATCTCTGGTCAGCCTACTACCATTTGTCACTGATGGCAAACTCTTATTCCCCCTTCTCTCCTCTTCTCACCATCTCCTGGATGTGGAACGCCCCATGATGTGGTCCAGGTACAGGAAACATCACGGATCCTGGAAGAGGTGAGGTGGACCCTCTTGGCTGTGGCGGCTGCTGGTGGGTGGAGGGGTGGGCAGAGACAGAGGGGAGGTCAAGGCCATCTTCTGGACACGTGCCCTGGAGACTTCAGTGTTCCTGGTTTCCCAATGAGCACACAGAGACCTACTTGGTTTCATTGCCCTCACTCTGTGGATCCAGGGCTGCCTGGGGTGAGTCCTGGAATGATTTTGGCCTCAGAGGACTTGCTGTTCTGTTGAAGATCAGATTCATCTAGATCGCATGGTTGGCAGTGCGTAGTCTCATTTGGCCGAGGACCAGGTGGCATGTTTTCAAGAAGAAAATGTTCGTAACAGGCCAGAGTAGGCAAGGAAGCCTCTCTGGTGGAGGGGGCATCAGCCAGGCATTGTTGTAGGAAGGAGGTGGGAAACCTGCCTTTGGCCACAAGGGGACCAACACCAGGTTAGGGCCTGAATGGTCAGGGCCTGGATGGCTTAGGGGCTAGGTAGGTTGGGGACTTTTAGTTCTAGAAGGAGTTTGCCGTCTGTCCTTTGTTATGAGGATGAGGAGCGCATTCCTAAAGGCTTCCTGCACATCTGGGAGCGGGTCCTCATGAATGAGTAGGGCAGAGGCCTGGGCAGAGAGACAGGAAGGAGAGCCCTGGTCAGAGGGGGGTTGGGCAGAAGGCAGCTACTTCCTGCCGTCAGGGAATCCCCAGGCAGGGAGCGAACACCATTTGACATTTGCAGTGCAATTTGGACTTGAAGTGCAGGGTCAGGATGTGGGATCCGCAGGCCCTGCGCCCCTTACCTCACTTCCTTTTGCTCCCAGACCGAGGTGGGGTCCGCCAAACGAGCTGGCCGTAATTGCGCCTGACAGGCAGCCTCCTGCTTTTGGCTGCCGGTGGAAAGACTGCCGATTTGGAAAGGGGAGCAGAGTCCTGTCCAGGGAAGCAGCACGGAGCCCTCTCTCAATTGAGAGCGTTCTGTGGCCAAAACCCACAGCCTGCTCCAAAGAAGACCCAGCCCAGGGATGAGTTATTAAAAAAAAAAAAGTTAAAATCCTTAATAGCTAACTGGATTTGTAATATATAACAGCGAAGGCTCAGATTCCGAGAGCAAGGATCAGGCTGTGGGTCTCCTTGTCAGGAAGCAAATCCAAATTTGCAGCTTTGGGGCCAGACCCCAAAGAGGGCCAAGCGTCCTGCTGCCGGGCCGGCCCCAGAGTGAGGCGGGGTGTGGGTCACCAGGGCCAGACGATCTGAGGATCTGAGGCCCCTGAGGATAAACGGAGTAACACCTCACCCAGGGAACCACCCCAGAGGATGACCTTGTGACCCCTTCATCTCCAGGGCCCGTAGCTCATCCAGTTCCCCTGCTCTTTGAAGGCTAAGCCTCATGCTAAGTCCCGAGTCCTCTTTGCTTTTAAGAGTCCTTCAGTACTGGGTGGAGGCAGGGATCCTGCTGGTTCTGCAGGAAGCTGTACAACTGCGCAGAGTTATTCTGTCTTTGCATGAGCTCAGCACTTGCCTTGTATCCCTCGTTCAGTCCCATCTAGGTCTCAGCCTGATCCCAGTGAGGATCATTCCAGGCAGCCTGGGGGCTCTGGTAAGACAGGCCAGGAGCTTAGATTCTTAGAGCAGAGCAGGCAGATGGGTGGTTAGCAAGTTGTCTGGCTGGAGGGGATGTTAGGTTGGGAAACAAGAGGCAGGAGGGGAGACGAGCTAGGATGCCTGGGTAGACTCTAGGATGGTTGAAGGATGGTGTCTCCGGTGGGGAGTGCCTTTGGGCCAGCGCAGCCCAAGGCTGTGTGGGAGACAGTGTCTGTGAAAGAGATGAAATGCATTCTGTCGGCACTGAGGGCTCCCAGAGCAGATGGAGGACAGTGGGAGTGGCTTCCCGGAAGAGGTGACGCTTGAGCTTGCGTTGGATGCACAGATTGGCAGCTGGGGGCGGGAGTGCAGGTGCCAGTGCTTTGGGCTGGAGGCTGTCATCACTCAGGGCCAGTTTGTCGGGTGAGATTTCTCTCTCCCTGGGCTTTACGCCCATCCAGAGGGTCTCTTTCCGGGGCTCTTGGCAGGGAAGGAGAACGGTGGCGTCCTGTGGTTGAGACTTTGGTGATGCCTGGGAGACCTGGGTTGTGGCAGAGAGCATGGGTGGCAGAGGCATCTCTCCTGGCTCCTCAGCCTGTCTGTGTCGCCCCTCTTCCCCCCTCTTCCTGAGCCCTGCTCGCCTTCCCCTCTTCCCGCTCTCCCTTCACGTTTCCCTCTGCCTCTGTTTGTTCCTTGGCCCTGGCTCCCACTCTCCCTCCTTCTCCCGCCTCTTCTGAGCCCTCTGTCTCGTTTCTTTTCCTTTTTGTCTGGAGAACAAAGGCAGTCCGTGCTGCCAAGGGGAATGAGTTCAAAGAAACTGCAATTTTAGATTTCCTGAGAACTGGAGAGTGTGCACATGCACGTTGGAGTGTGTGCGAGTGTGTACACTCGCATGGACACACACACACACACACACACACACACACACACACGTGCGTGCACACGTGGCAGGAGAGGGGTTGGCTGGCTCCTTCTTAACTGGGGCTGGCATGTGCAGAGGAAGACCTACCTGGGGGCCTGAGGTGGGAGCAGGGTTGAGGTCCTGGCCACTGAAGGGGGTGTGGTGGGACTGGTGCCCTCGGTTCTGCTTGTGTCCGTGGAGGGGATGCCCTGGTAGAAGGGACCGCGTGCTCTGTCTGTGGCTGTTTTTAGGAGGCTCGCGGTCCAACCAGATGTTACTCCCTCAGCCCTTCCAAATCCAGGCAGTGGGGTATGGCGAGGGATTCTCCTGCACCCCCAAATCCACTAGAAGGAAAACTTTGGTATTTTGCAATCAAGAAAATAAACCCAGTGGTCCCCCATCCCCCATTTCTCCTCTCCCCCACCCCCCAGGCCTTAATTTAAAACACTGTTTTTCCTCCCAAGTGTAATTAGAGCAACATGTTGTTCCTAACGAGCTGGGTGGGGCAGGCAGACAATGGAGCCCTCCCAGCCGCCTGGCTGCCCGGCCTGGAGCTCCCCGAGGAGCCAGGATCTGAATGTCTGCAGGTCCCCTGGCTATACCCTGTTGGGTGAGGTGGGAGTCTGTGAGCCACTGGTGGTGGGACTGACCTAGGTGGCTGGGTGGGCTTGCAAACATGTCTGGTGTGGTGGCTCCTAGGCCTGGGGGAGAAGGACCCCTTCTTGGTTCAGGGCCTGGGCCAACCTGCACTGAACTGACCAGCAGGATGGATAGACTGAAGGGGCATTAAGGTGGACTCTGCTCTGATGGGGAGAGAGTCCAAAGCCTCACTCCCCTGTAGAGGCCCATTAGCAGAGCAGCCTCAGGTCTGCCCTGCATTCAGGGTTGGGTGGGGAGTGTGGTCAAGGAAGGGCTTGGTCAAGTGTTGCTGTATCTAATTCGGCTTATAGTCTAAGGCTGCCCCAAGGTCTGTGTCCCTAAGGGTCCCCTGTCTCACACAGGACAGTGAATCAGGATGCCCTGGGGACCCTTTCATTCTGCACCCACCCCTGCCTGCCGATGCTGATGTGCGTCCCCAGTTCTGATAGGGCCCCTGCAGCCCACCCTGTGGGGAATCACTGCCTGGAGAGAGCTGGTGCCTCAGGTTGGCTGGACTAGAGAACAGCTGAGACACTCGTGCACAAGAGCTGGCCACCTGGCTGGGCCACAATTTCTGAGATGTCAGAAACCTGTTAGGACCTTGGGAAACTGGACACAAGGTCACTTAGAATTCAAAGGAGCCAGAAAGTAGGCTTATAAGAATTTTCTGGAGTGGTTGGGGAGATTTTCTGGAGGATGGAGAGCTTAACTGGGCCCTGAAAGATGTCTTAGGCTCAGAAGAAGAGTAAGGGAAATCCATTCAAACAGCGGGAGCCATAAGCAGGCCCAGGGGAGGGGAGGCTTGGGGAAGACCTAAGGATCAGGCTGGAGCAGACAAGGAGGGAAGAGTATGTTGGAGCCAGTTCTTTATTCACACATTCACCCACCCATTTATCCCTCTGTCCCCACTCCTTCCCTCCCTCCAGCTATCTATTCATAACCCTTTATTTATTGGACCGGGGATTCAGCTGCGGTCCCTGTGTGCAGAATAGCTGGTTTAGCTGGGGACATAGACAAATGAACACATAGGGATGGCACAGGATGGTGTGTCTTTCAATTGGAGATGATCAAGTTGCTATGGGAGCCATGGGGGTGCTTAAGTTGAGCTCAGGCCCCCAGGGAAGATTTAATGGAGACCTAAAGCTGAGCAGGAGGTAGCCAGATGAAGTGGGCAGAGAGCATCCAGACAGAAGGACCCAGAGCTTCAGGCCTCACAGGTAAAGACAGCAGGGTGTCTTCTGTAACCGGCTGGGGAAAGCATTGAGCATGTTCAGTGTGGCTTATCTCTCTGGGGGCCTGGAAGGAATGTTATCTGGTGAGAGGTGAGACAGGAGAAGTCAAGGGCTAGAAGATGAGGGGTCTTGGAGGCCACGTCAAGGAGTTTGGACTTCATCCTGAGTGGGAGGGGAACCTCTGATGGGTCTTAAGTAGAGTGACATTTTTATATTGTGTCTCCTGGCTGCAGAGCACAGCATACCTTTGTTGCAGAGAGTAGATATGCAAAAGCAGGTGCGAGACCACTTAGCAGGGTGCTGGCGAATCCAGGCAGGAAGGATGCACGTGCAAGAGATTTAGGGGACAGAATCGCCAAGGCGAGGTGATCATTCAGACATGGTGACAGGGGAGGAGAGCTGAGGATGGTCTGGGACTCTGTGGCCTGGTTGTTGAGGTGGGTGGTGGGGCGGGTTTCTGACATGACACGTGAAAAGAGCGGGTTTTGATGGGGAAGGCAGGGAATCCAATTCTGGATAAGTTCAGTGTGAGAAGCCAGTGGGACACAAGGATGAACAACTGAGCAAAAGAGGTTGGGAACGTGGGTCTAGAGTTCAGCAGAGTTGTTTGAGAGCAGAAAGCTTAGAAGACGACTAGGCAGAGGAGGGAACTCAACAAGCAGAGGGTAGGGGTGGAGGGCCAGTGTGGGACCAGAGAGAGGGTTTCAGGCAGGAGGCTGAGATCAGCTGGCCACATGCTACTGAGGGAGTGAAGATAGATAGGAGCTGGTAAGGGACGGCCTCTGGGTTGAGTTATAAGCAGGTCGTTATTAACTTTGGGGATAGAAGTTTCCAGGGAGAGGATGCAGGGAGCCAAGCTGAATGCTCAGAGGGCTGCATGGAAGTGAGAGGCAGTGGATGGATGCGGTCCTTTTCAGGAAGAGAGAGAGGAGAGGGAGGCTGCTGGAGAGGACACACAATGGGTGGATCTGATGAACCATCTTTAAATGGGGATGGAAAAGATCTAGCAGATAGTGGGGAAAACTCGGGGGGAGGTGCCGGGGAGGACTGGGTTAAGGAGCCAGAGTGTTTAGGCGTAGAAGCTCTGTGATAACCTCACCAGTGTGCTCAGAGAGGAGGGGGCACAGAGGGCCAACTTGGCAGCTTGCAGGCGTCGTGGAAGGAGCAGGGGTCTTGCGGAGTGGCAACAAATGACAGGGAACAAGGATGTTCTGGGACCCCGGGGGACATCTAGATGGATGGAGAGGAGATGGCCTTGGGATGAGAACGATGGCCTCGTGCAGAGGAAACTCCTCCACAGACACACTTCTAACCACTGTCTCTGCTTGTCTCTCCCTGCTGCCTCTGCGGGCCTGGCGCTCCACAGCTGTGTGCACCTGCCTTCTTCCTCCAGGGCCTCCTCCAAACGGTACTGGAGTCTATCCGTCTCGAGGTTCTGGTTCCCTGGCCTTTTCCCTAAAAATAGGTTCTTGGAAATGGGGAGCCCAGTCCTCAGAATATAGAGAGGAATGCCACCAACTGGAGCTCAGGGGAGCATGAAGGAAAAATGCAACATGGAAGGGAGGGACAGAAAGGCGGGACACTGCCGAGAGTTGGGGGCCTAGAGAAGACTGTCTGGGAGGAAATATATGAATGAGCTTTCCTGGGTGATTTCAGGAGAATGTTGCCACCATGTGAGAAAGGCTTATCTTTCTGTCTCCTCACCCAGGGGTGCTTGGACGTGGTTCCCTCCCTGACACCCTTTGCATCTTGGGCTTTTGCCCTGAACCCACATTGGACTGGGCATCACCCTCAAAAGCAGGCCAGAAACAGGACACAAGCAGGCCTTCAGGCCTCACCCTTCCCTTAACGAGGCAACCCTTGATGTGCAGCTGCTGCAGCTGGTGGCTTGGAGTGCCAAGGGTGGGCACTCAGCCAGGTGACCCCGTAGCAGCCAGGCCATTGTGGTGGCTGTCCAGGCCCTACCTGCACCCTCCATACTGTGATGTGCACTGCAGTCCCTGGAATTATGCCCTGTGGCAGCCCTGCACATCACTGCCCTCTCCCCTCCTGATGGCATCTGTCTCCCGGCCAGCCTAAAAATATCGGTGCTTCCTACATCATCTGCTGGAAAACAGTGAACGTCTTCACTTTGTGCTCTGGTGACATAGGGACAGTTAGGAAGCCAGTGTTCTGAGAGATGCTTTCGGGGGTTCAGATCTCTTCAAGCCACCCTGGGAGATCAAGGTTAATGGTACAAACCAAGGTTGGGTGGCACCACCACACAGCAATACAGGAACCAGGATTACCGCTATCTACGAAGCACTTCTACATTTGTTCTCCACCTGAATTCTCACAGCAACTTCGAAGGGTATTGTAATTCCAGATCTTCTCGAGAGGGTCTGAGTCACAGAGGTTGGGTAATTTGCCCGAGGTCAAACAGCTGCCACAACAGGCACAAATACCACGGTCTGGTTTGATTCTAGAAATGAACTACTTACCACTCCAGGCCAGGGAGCATAGCACCGAGGCTGTGCCATTGGGCAGGAGTGACAGCTGAAGCTGGTTATGAAGCACTGAGGCTGGAGTGAGCTGGTGTGTGTCTCCTGCTGCTCCAGGGATCTGTGTCCGAACATCTGTAGGTGGATACACTGTCCTCTGAGAAAGAACCCAGAACAAGTCACTTGGAGAAGGAATCCAATAATTCCATTGTTTATTAAATGAGATTAGATGAGGCAAGCTCTGCAAAGCGCCCAGCAGAGCCCTTTTAATTACAGTTAGTATTTCCTGGGGGTCAGGAACCCCATGTGTGTATGTGCAGTTGTTCATTGTGTCCAAGGAGGTGCAATTTCCAGGCAGACATCATAGATTTGTTTTTATCATAACAGGTTTCCAGTAGGTGGCAGTAGAGTGTCTTGTTCTAATAAGCTAGCGAGGTATGATTTTCTGACATGGATGTAAAGGTCTTTAAGAAAGAGACATGTTTCTCTAATTGTCACAAGGGTGCCACGTGAGCTAGCAGGCCTACTATTGAGAGTTTACACCAATTAGGAACTGTTCTAAATGTTGTTTTAACTTCTTCAAGCTTCACACGAACCTTTAGGGGTTGATAACTTTTACTACCATGTCATAGATGTAAAAAAATGAGCCATAGAGAGGTGAAATAACTTATTTAACTCAGTGAGTGGTGGAGCCAGGATTCATACCCACAGCCTGTGTTCCAGCCACTGTGAGACGGGGTAGTTTCCCGGTACCTGCTTCCTTTGCCCTGTCTGCTTCCCCATACAATACTTCATGATCATTGGGATTCCTGCCTACATCCTTTTGGCAAACCATTAGAAGGTCAAACTTGACATATGCTGTGCTCAGCTCTGTCTGTGGTGGTGAAGGAGCCTCCCCATCAGTGCCCTTTGGTGCCTGTAGACGATGGGCATTTATGTACCCTTCTCCTGCTGGGAAATGCTCTGACTCCCAGTGTAAGTGCTCTGTCCTCACAGCAGATGGGTAGGAGAGGTGGTGTTAGGGGCTGACAGGTGTCTGGGAGGGAGTATGGGGGTAGGGATGGAACTCCAGGGTGGGTGGTAAGTTGGAAAGGTGTGAGCCAGGAGGCAGGAGAACAGTGAAGGCACATGATCCCCTCTGGGATGGAGAGGGGCTGAAGTGGACGTGTCAGGATAAAAAGGGAAGTCGCGTGTGCACATGTGCATGCAAGTGTAGAAGATGGGGTGACCCTGAGCAGCTCATGGGTGCATCAGAGCCTGCACTATGGGAGGAGGGGTAGCCTAAACCTTAGGCCATGGTGCTTGAATTGTGATCCTGAAGAAAATTGTGCCTGGAAAAACTGACTTTGCTCTTTCATTTCTGCCTGCTCGTTGCCCACTTGTGGATCCTTGCTTCTCTGTTTCTGTCTTTCTCATGCACATCCTTCTTTCCATCCCACCTGTCTCTCTGCCTTGATCTTTTCTCCCACCCATTGTCTGTTCCACGTGATGTTCCCCGTAGTCGGAGGACACAGACTTGCCCTACCCGCCACCCCAGAGAGAGGCCAACGTCTACATGGTTCCCCAGAACATCAAGCCAGCTCTCCAGCGAACCGCCATCGAGGTGAGCCTGGCTCCAGTGTGGGGGTTGGAGGGCAGCCTGGACCTTACCCTTCCTGGCCCAGCCTTCCCATGGCCTTTCTAGCTGCTCTCCTCACTTTGTGTCCCCAGATCCTGGCATGGGGCCTGCGGAACATGAAGAGTTACCAGCTGGCCAATGTCTCCTCCCCCAGCCTTGTGGTGGAGTGCGGGGGCAAGACAGTACAGTCCTGTGTTATCAGGAACCTCCGGAAGAACCCCAACTTTGACATCTGCACCCTTTTCATGGAAGTGGTGAGCCTGAACCCCCTGTGGTCCTCTTCCAGTGTCCTGGTGGCTAGAACCTCCTGGCAACACCAAGCAGTCTGGGAGTCTGCTCTGACTTCTCAGGAACCTGTGTGGTCATGGCTTCTCGCCCACCTTACTTGTCTATGAAAGTGGGCAGAAATCTCATGCTCTCCTCACTGGAAGAGCTGAAGTGTGTGAGCAACACCGATGGGACTAGCTTGTTCCCTCCTACCCAGATCCCGAGTCCTCAGAGGTCCTAAGGACCCATCATAATGGCCGTTCTCTCTTTTAGGGTAGGGCTCAGTCCTCTAAAGTTCCCCTCAGGGACCTGCCAGGGCTCTGATCTTCCAAACCTTCCCTGACTGGCCTCCCCACCTGGGCCTCCGCAGATGGGCTCACCCTACTGCCCTCTGGCCCCCAGTCCTCTCCAGCTCCCGGGGCTGCCTGGGCCTAGTGGCTGGATCAAGGCAAGCCTGAGGAAAGGAACATGGTTTGCAAGATGAAAGCACTATAGAAATTCCAGGCCCAGTGGCTGTCAACAGGAGCCTCCTCTTGGCTGAGCCAAACCCGCCACCGAAGGAGAGCATATAAATTATTTCAAGTTGTGTTCAAAGTGCTATTGGGGCTGGGGAGGTGGGGTGGGGAGAAGAATCTGGGACTATAAGCCAACTCTTGAGTATCCACTTGGGGGGGACTGTCTGCAAGAAATGTTGAGTCCTGGGCCAACTTCTCCCCTCTTCCCCTCCCAGCCAGTGAGGGTTCAGGGAAAGGAGACTTGCTTTCACTCTGGACTGAGCTGATGTGTTTGGAAGGTAAAATTGTGGGGAAAAGCTAGCCTCCACGTAGAATGTTCAAGAGGCATGAGGAAAAGTATGTTTTTTACTTCCCTGGCCAGCTCTTGGGTTCAGCCAGCCACCACTTTGGAGTCATGGCCACTGGAGATTACATGTGGGTTCATAGTCATTTTTTCTCCCTGGGCTTGTCCCCCCCCTCTGAGCCTTCCCAGAGATGGGTTTAGACCATTGCTCAGAACGTCCCTCCTTCTCTGCTCAGATGCTGCCCAGGGAGGAGCTATACTGTCCTCCCATCGTGATCAAGGTCATTGATAACCGCCAGTTTGGCCGCCGGCCTGTGGTCGGCCAGTGTACCATCCGCTCTCTGGAGAGCTTCCTGTGTGACCCCTACTCAGGAGAGAGTTCATCCCCACAGGGTGGCCCAGGTAGGTGCAGGGGCTGTTGATGGGGAGGGCCTGGCAGAGGGGCCTTGGGCAGGCGGGACTTCCACTGAGAGTTGTCCTGAAGCTCTCCTTTTACTGGGATCTGACTGAGGGGTAGTTTCTGCTCAGCTGACCAGAAGGGTAGGGACCTCGTCTTCCTCAGGGCATAGTCTGAATCTGGGCTGGGCACACCAGATGTCTGTGGGGGCTGAGAGGTGAGGGCTGAAGTGAGAGGTGGTTGAGGGAGAGAGAGATATGCTGGGATTCAGCGGGATGAGGAGGGAGGAGAGAATGGGAAGGGAGGAAGAGAGACATTCAGGAGACAGGGTATGTGAAGGAAGATGGGAGGGACAGAGATGGGAGAGGGAAGAACTGGGTAGGAGGAAGAAGAAGATTGAGAAGTGTGGAGAGAGAGAGAGATGGATTTCGTCTCATAGTTCCCTGAGTCTTGTGGCTGAGGAGGGACGAGATCCCAGAGGGAGCCCCTCTCAGGCCTGGACACTGGTCTCTCCTACAGATGATGTGAGCTTACTCAGTCCTGGGGAAGATGTGCTCATTGACATTGATGATAAGGAGCCCCTCATCCCCATCCAGGTAGGATGATCTGGGTCCTGGGGAAGAGACACTGGTTCTGGCTAAGAGCTGGCCTTGATTGCTCCCTACTCCCTTCCTCATCTCTCCCACTGCTTCTCTTCCTCCCTTATCACATGGCCTTTGCAAGAGGTCTCCTTCTGGACCTGGGTGGAAGGACATCATACAGATGAAGGGGCCTGGAAGGAGGGATCTTTGTCCAAGCCAATAGTCTCTCCACCTCCTGCATTCCTCCGTGTCCAGGAAAAGGAAGGGAGAGGGGTGGGAGGGGGACCTTATTCCAAGGGTGTCCCACCCTGTTGCAGGTAAGTGGAGTCCCTTTGCTATGCACTCAGCAACGTAGGGCCAGCTGGTGAGTCAGACACTCATGTCCAACAGCATGGCAGGGTGTGTGTGGCATCTCTCACTGAGGGGAAGGACTCTCCCCACCTGGGGACCTGGGGTGGCTCTGGGTCCTGTCGGGCTGAGACTACCTAGTCCTTCCTGCAGTGAGATGGAGAAAGTCCTCACCGTGAGTGAGCATAGGCCTCAAACTGGCCATCTGTTCTAGGTTGTCACCTTCTCTCAGCTTTGCATGATGCTGGTCACACCCCTGGCACCTGGGGCTTCCAGAGCGTGGGGGCTGCCTGGGGGCAGAGCCTCCCAGCCTATGCAGTTATCAGCTGTGTCCTCATGCCCACAGCCTGCTTATTCACCCCAGGATGGGATGGTGTAGCACTTCAGAGTGTTTGTTTCCTTTAAACCATCAATCCAATATTAGCATTGAGAGCAGGAGAGCAAGTCTGGTGTTGGGCTCAGGATCCCAAAGCTGTTCCTGGAGGTGCGTTGATAGGGGCTTCCCTCTGATACTACGGGCTGATATCCTCTTCTTTATCACTTGCTCATCATTTCACTTCCCAGGGCGTGTCCTGGGCCTCACTGCTGCCAGAACAGGAGGTCTTGCTCTACAGCTTCTTTGCTGTTGAGTGTCCTCAGAAGTCCTAAGCTCTCCACTTGTCCTGTGTCTGTGGCTCTCCAGGGCTCTATCCTTTCTGCTGGGGACACCTGGTTATTCTTTAAGACTCAACTTAGTTGTAGTCACCTCCTTCCAGAATTCTTCCCTGGCTCCTCCCCCTTTCCTGCGAGTCTGGTCTGTATCTTGGTCATTGGACCTGCCTTAGGTTCTGCTTGTCTCTGTAAATGGAAGCATCCTTCCTAGACTAGGCTCAGGGCAGTGACTGGGCATGTTTCTCTTTGTGTCCTTAATGCTTAGCAGAGGACCTGACTCAGCAGGAGATATCCAATAAAGTCTGCCTGGATTGGTGGATGCACAGTGGGTGGACAGATGGATGACCTGCCCACACTCTGTAAGGGGTCTAGGCAGGAGCTTCTCTTGACTGGGGAAGCCCAAGAGGACATTTCAGCTGGTCCTGCAAGGATTCAGCTGCACTGGGTGCTAGTGCTTTCAGGCCTAGGTGGGTGTTGGTAGCCAAATTAGGCAGATAATTAGCCCCAAACTCCAGGCTGCCTGATCCTGGCTCCCGTTTCCCACCCTCTCAGCAGGCTGTCTGAGTCTGTGGAGGGAAGTGTGGGGCTTGCCCAGCAGGATTTCCGTTCTGTGTGTGCCACCCTCAAAATGTCTACAGATGCAGGGAGGAGGGACTATTTTGGGTTCCGCTGGCTACAAGCACAGCCAGAGGCAGACAGTGAGGAGGCCCCGTCTGGTCATCCTCCTGGTGTTGACATCAGTGGACTGGGGCGGGGGTCTGAGCAGGATAGGGTCTGTTCTCTGTGATAGCACAGCCACTCCGCCTAGAGCTGCTGGCCAGACAGAGAGCGGGGATCTGGCATCTGGGTTCCTGGATGCATGTCCACATGGGGCCAGGCTCACAGGGCCTCAGGTGGGCAGGCAGAAGGAGGATGTGAAGTCTGCCTGCTCTGATGGAGGAGGCTTGGACTCTCCCTTCATTGATCTTCCCTTCTGAGGGAGGGTTCATGATACTGTTCTCAAGGAGTCCGGAGGTCAGCATGGAAACTGTTCCTGGGGTCTAGGAAGCCCTGACCTAATGGGGTTTATTGGGAGGTTAAGGGAAAACTGCTTTTGTATTGCATTTTCCTCTGAGATCCATTGGTTTGATTTGGCTAATCCAGGAAATCTTTTCCTCCTCTATCTTTCCTGCACATCCTCTGGCACTTGAGAGGACTGGGCATTCCAAGGCTGATCCAGTAGTCAGAGGTTCCAGAGCAAATGCTTTGCCAGATAATTCTGCCTGAGCTCTCCTCCCCTCTCTGCTCCCCTAGTACAGATAGAATGGAGGGCCTCTGAGGATGGGAGGGACAAGAATTTGGATTTCTCCTGGCTTCTGCTTGTTCAACTGTATTTCTTGGCAGCCTGTTTCATTTTTCCTGTGATGTGGCCCCTGTTGCTATGCTCAGCAGGTCTGGGCTGTGGACCCATCTCAGGGAACTTCCCCAACTTCACATATGCTCTTGCCACATCTGGCTTCTGTCTGGTCCCTCCATCTCCTTCCTTGGTTGCACCTTCTTTGCTGATGTAACTTCTCACCATCATCTGCCTGTTCCTAGGATGAGCCTGCCACATGTTGGAAAACATCACCTCAGACTTTCCTGATACTCCAGTCATTAAACAGACACGGTAGAATGTACCTCAAGGTTCTAGAAATGTTTTGGTTTCTGTCAAGAGTGGCCAATTCTAGAGATCAAACGTCTCTCTACTCTGCCTTCCAGAGCTTGTAGGTCAGCACTTCTTGGGGTGAGGATGGTCCCTCATGAGTGGGTGCCTGACCCTGTGAACTCCTCTCCACAGCATGAGGGATGGGATGAGATAGTCTTATGCAGATTAACTCCAGGGTTGATTCTTGGTCTGTGTGTCTGCCCTTTGTATAGATTTCAGATCCATAGCCTGGGGTGGATGTAGCCTCTCTCTCTCTCTCTCTCTCTCTCTCTCTCTCTCTCTCTCTCATGAATGTGTGATATCTCTCTCTCTCTCTCTCTCTCTCTCTCTCTCTCTCTCTCTCTCTCTCTCTCTCTCCCTCCCTCCCTCCCTCCCTCTCTCTCTCTCTCATACATGAATGTGTGAGAGGTGGGGGGAGGCTGGGAGTAGGTGTGTGTGCAAACTCTCCAGTGTGTGTATAGTCTCAGTGATGGTGTTGCAGGCATCGTGGCCATGCCCTTTAACTTTCTGAAGGCAGGCATGGGTATATCCTCAGAGAGGGGGTATGGAGGTCTTTTATCCATCTAGTGCTCTGCCTTAAAAAAAGGATCTCATTTATTTTTTCCCCCTGAGTATAAATATATATTCATGTTATCAAATTTGGGAAATAAAGAAAAATGAACAAATAGGCATTGCCTTCAACCAAGAATGCAATCTGAATGAACTGCTACCAACCCATCATTCTCTAGCCTTGCCTTTCTCCCAGGCTTCTCCTCTGTCTGCGATTATGTCTCTGACTCTGAATTGGACTCTATCTTTCAAACAAAACTGGGGTGTTCGTTTACTAAGCTGCTTTTTCATTAAGCTAGCTCTGGTGTTCTGATTATGAAGATGGGGAGAGAATCAGTGTGCAGGAACACCCGAACCTGCTGCTCCCTAGAGAGGGCCTTGAAGCCCAAAGTAGAGGTGGTGTCCTCTGTTCACCCCATATGTCACCCCACTTCCAACTACCAGATGCCCCTGAAGACACCTGGTGAAGGGTGACTCTTGGCTATAATCCTGAGAGACCATTCTGGGTGGGAGGGGGGAAGGGGGAGGGTCGTCTCCTTTTTAAGTTTCCAGAGAAGAATTTCTGGGGGTGGGGAATACATGTGTGTTGAGGAGGGATAAAGAGAAGGAGCACACTGGGGATGTCTTCACTGTGGTTGAGAGACAGGTGAGAGACATGTTAGCAGATTTAAAATGAGATGATCAGAGTGATGAAACCCTTTATGAGCAAGGACACCAAGGTCATGGGCTCTCTTGGCCCTTGGAGGTCAGTGTGGCCACAGTAATCAGGAAAGCTTCTCCCAGGGGGTGGGATTGGAACGGCAGAGGGGAGAGGAAGGCTTTTCTGGAGGGTAGAGTGGCTGGCCAAAGGCTTAGTAGTGGGACTGTGTGTGTGTGTGTGTGTGTGTGTGTGTGTGTGTGTGTGAGAGAGTATGTGTGTTAGGCCTTGGGGGTTATGGAGGAAACCCCGGCTAGCATGCAAGAAGCTTCCCGAGGTATGCTGACCTGTGCCCCACTCCATGGGGTGCGATGGGTGAGGCGCTGGGGCTGGCTGCTCCCTGCTTGCCCGGCCTGGGCTATTTTTGAGCTGGCTGCTCCGGTTATAGTCTTTGGGACACCGTGAAGGTGGAAATGTGCTCCTAGAACCGGAGCGGCAAATTACGCCCGGAGTCCCAAAGGGGAACGTGTAATTTCGGAAGCTGGAGCAGATCTTTGGAGCACTATGTTTAGCTTTATTTTTTCTCCCTCTTGCTCTGGTGAACTGCCGGTTTCCCTCTCACCTTTCTAAAAACGAACCGTATTAAAAATAACAGTAAGTCTTCTGTGAGGTTCAGCATGAGAATAGGAGGCAGCAGAGCTGCTACTTGGCCCGGCCACCTCTGGACAGCTGGGGGTTTCATATGGAGTTCATCCGGTCTGTTCCGGGGTCACACCACACCCACCAACATGTGGCCAGGCGCCCCTCTTACCCCCCCCCCCCCCCCAGCTATCCAGTGGCCTGGCTGGGTGCCCATGGGCCCTTCTGCTTTCCTGCCCAGCTCTGAGGGCTAGTCCAGGGGAGGCGAGGGTTCCCTCAGTGCTGTCTCTTCATAGGGCAGGGGTGAGTCTGTAGTTGCCAGGTCCCCCCAAGTTTCTAGCAGGTTTCACTGGCCAAGCGTTCCTGATCCCAAGTGAACATGTCTCCCAGGCTCTTCCTGCCCAGGAAAGGAGGACGTTTGTGCCTGGCCTCTCTGGACTCCCCAGAGCCTCCTGCTCAGGCTCGAAGGAAGGAGAGGGGTCTAACCCTGGGAGCCCTGGGTCC